TATAATCTATAGAGGTAAAGAAAAGACAAATGTAGAGTAAAGATAAATAAAATAATAAAGCAATGATTGGTACACCTTCTGATTTAACACATTATACAACACATTGTACAACACACTCCGATTCAACCATTAAAATTTGCCTTTGGAAATTTTCTCGCCATGAATTCAAATTTGAAAATAATAAATTTTTAAAAAATGTGTTGTAGAGTGTGTTGAACTAGAGGGTGTATCAATTATTTTTCAATAATAAAATGTCGAGTGAGAAGCTAAGAGCTAGAAAAGTAAAAATGAGAGAAGTGTAGTAAAGATAAGTGAAAAAAGTATTAGAGAATAATGTTCAAAAGTTGTGCCACATGTTTTGGCCTAAAATATTTCTAAAATTAACAATGAGAGAGAGAGAGAGATAGGAGAAATAGGGTAGAAAAGAACTAGATGGAGATGTAAGGAGTAACTAACAAAAAATAATAAAGAAAAAAAGATAAGGGAGATGTAAGAATAATAACAAACAAATTATTAATTTAGTACCCAAAAAAAAAAAATTATCAATATAAAGAGGAAAATAGAGGGGAATGTACTGTAGAGCAATATATAATAATAGAATGTGAAAGTGGAAGTTGAGAGGTAGAGTTTTAAGAAAAATAATGATAATAGGGGAATAAAAGCAATTGAAAATGTACTAAGAGAATAATATTAAGAAGTTGTGTTTTTTCATGTTTTGACATAACACTTCTTTAATAAAAACATGTTGAAAATAGATAAAGAGCGTAAAAAAATATAATATATAATAATAAATTGAGATACATAAAATGTGCAAGAAAGAATAATAGAGATGGGAGCATAATCGACAAAGAATAATATGCATGATAGAGAAATAAATATAAAACGAGGGGGGAAGCTGAAAGATGGAGTCTTAACAAAAATTAATGGGAGGTGGACCAAAGGCAAGTGAAAAGTTAATACTAAGAAAGTAATGCTAATAAGTTGTGCCCTTTATATTGACTTGAAAACATTTTAAATATATATAAAGAGAAATGAAGACAAATTTTAAATTGAAGGTGGGAAAACTTTCAAAAACAAATTTTAATAACTAAATTGATAAGTGTTAGTGGATGTATTAAATTGGAGAGTATACCAATAATTTTTCAAAAAGATATATATGCAACGAATGATTAAGAAAGAACAATAAAAACAAGAGGATTAGGAATAAAGAATAATAAAAAAAAAATACTAATATAGAGATGGATTTATGGAGAAATATATATACAAAGATAACATGAGAGAATAAACGTGAAATAGATACAAAAAAAAAAAAAGTAATGAAAGTATAAAATAATATGAAAAAAAGATCAATTTAAAAAGGAGAAATGAGGAGGGATACATGCATTAAGTTAAGCTTGAATTCATAACAATAATATAAGTATAGCATGATGGCTAAACAAACTAGAAAATTGAAGGTTCAGCAAAGAAAGATATTGAGAGAGATATGATTATAATATAAGAAGTTGATGAGAAAAATATAGTATGTGAATAGATAGGGATATGAGGTAAGGAGGAGATGATAAACGAGAGAGAGAATAATATCAAACAATTTATTAATATAGAGAGAAAAAATATATATATATATATGTGATTGATAAAATTTTTAATATAAAGAGAAAGAATAGATATAGATAATTGATAAATTTTTATATTTCATTAATATTAAGATTAAGAATGAGTTTGTTTTAATTTTTATTGTGATGCTTTAATGAAATACGAAGTTGCAGTGCAAGAGTGGTGCTTTCACTGAAACATCCCACCAGTTAAAGCACTTTAACCAAAGCTTAAAAGATACGGGACAAGTTAATAATAAATTATCAACATTCTCATTTTTTCCACATAACTCACACAGACCACTATCTAATGATTCCTCTAGCAATCATCTGATCCTTTGTTGGCACTCTATTTAGTAAAAATTTCCACGTAAGTGCGCATACCTTCTTGGGTACCAAAGTGTTCCAGCACCTTTTGAAATTTCCTTCTTGCTTTTGGGGGATGCTATAAGCTAGGTATTTGTAGGCAGACTTTGTGGAATATATCCCATCTTTCTCCAGTTGTCATTCCCATTTGTCTTCTCTGTTCTGGTGAGGTGAAATCCCTTGGATAAGAGCTGTAAAATGTTGCTTGATATTGACTTCTCTTTGAAAAAGTTGCCTTTTCTTAGGGGGTTGGCAAAAATTGGTTTCGGTTAAAATTGAAATTGGATTTAAAATAATCAAAACAAATTTTCTCTAATTTTGAGAACTCAAGTCAAACCAAAATTTTCACAAATCGATTGATTTGATTACCAATAAAATTAGTTTGGTTTTGGTTTTTGATAAATAAATATTAATTAATTATTTTTTTAATAATAGATTATATTTTATCACAAATTTTATTATATTTATCTTAATTTTAATTTTTAAGGACTTATTTTTGGTTTTTAGTTTTTAAAAGACTCAACCGAAATCGAAGCAAAATATATTCAGTTAATACCAAAATCAAAAAAATAAAAATCAAAAACCGTTAAAACCAAATCGAATTCATTTTTTGGTTCGATTTTCAAGTAACCTATCAATTCGATTTCAAATGCCCAACCCTGCCTTCTCCAATTAATATTCCAAATGCCACCTGTCATTTGACCAACATGTTGTAAGAACACTTAATCATTAATAGTAAAAAATTGAATGGATATGTCTTTGTGTAAGATATTTTTGTGTAAAAGGATGCTATATAACTATTCTTTAATAATAATAATTAGAAATAGTGTAGATATTAGATTGTAATATATTAATTATATTTAATAATTTTTATTGTGTCAAAGGATTGATTTAATAATTAAGAATTTGAAATTTTAAATTAAAGATTTTAAATTTGAATTTTAAATTAAATGGAGAAGAATTTAGATAAAAAAATAATTATTTTTTCTTATATAATCTACAATTGTCATATGTATAAAAACTAATATTTAATGATTATTATTTTATAATCTGATATAATTCATATAATAAAAAATAATAATTTTATAATAATGTCAATAGTTATTATAGTAATTATATAGTTATTCCAATTTATTATCGACCAATTACGTACAAATGCAAAACCACCAAAACTAGCCACGTAAACAAACCATCGGGGCAATTTGTTTACAATTAAATAATTTTTTAAAAAAATTGTAAATGACGCAAACCTACTTTGTTCTTAAAATGCAAAATTGTTGGTCCATTTAGTTGGGCTTTAAAATACACTTTATTAGGCATTTTTCAATCAATTTAGAAAACACAAATTTTAATTAAACATAGATACTAAAACTAATGAGATTAACGGAGGTTTGATTTGCTAATAATAAATTGTTGTCCTATAAAAAAATTTCAGTGTTCAAATAAATCTTTGGGAAAGCTTCCCAATAACAAACACAACCTAAAAATATGGAGATTCTGAA